CAAAGTGCTAGGATTACAGGAATGAGCCACCGAGACTACCCAAAAATTTGCCTCTCACCATTTCTCTCCTTCCTGGTGCTGCCTGCTGATAATATCCATCTTTCATGGAACACTTTCCACCTCTACTTATTCTTCCCCACCTGTCAAATGCTTGTCCCAGAAAAACCACCTTCTCTGTGCTGCCTTTCCAGCATTCCCAGCCTCAGCACCATTCCTACGACACTCTTCATCTGACATTGTAGTTTTCATCTATACAAGTTTGAGCTGGGTCTACTTTGTATCTTCCATGCCTCCGTTTAACCTCTGAATATACAGAAGCATTCATAATAATGTTTAATGTCCATATGCTATTTCTAGCATATGTCATGTCTGAATCAGTTTCAATGGACTCAGTACAGCTCATATTTTCCTGCCTCTTTACATGCCTTGTAATTTTTTATTGAATGCCAGATATTTCCAATTTTACCTCTGTGGGTGCTGGAAATTTTCTGTATTCCTATATTCTTGAACTTTGTTCTGGAGTACAGCGAAGTCACTTAGAAACAGTCTGATCTGGGCCGGGCGTGGTGGCTCAAGCCTGTAATCCCAGCACTTTGGGAGGCCGAGGCGGGTGGATCGCAAGGTCAAGAGATCGAGACCATCCTGGTCAACATGGTGAAACCCCGTCTCTACTAAAAATACAAAAAATTAGCTGGGCATGGTGGCACGTGCCTGTAATCCCCGCTACTCAGGAGGCTGAGGCAGGAGAATTGCCTGAACCCAGGAGGCGGAGGCTGCGGTGAGCCGAGATCGCCCCTTTCCCCCCCAGCCTGGGCAAAAAGAAAAAAAACTCTTTCACAAAAAAAAAAAAAAAAAAAAAAAGAAACAGTCTGATCTTTTTGGTCTTGCTGTTAAGAAATCAGGTGGGCTTCATCTAGGGCTAATTCTACTCCACTACTGAGACAAGACCTTTCTGAGTATCCACCTGCATGTTCTGTGAATTATGGGGTTTTTGTCTGGCTGGTAGGTGAAATAGGCAGTATTCTTGGCCCCGCAAGGAGAAGCTGTCCTTCTAATCCTTCAAGGTGGTTCTTTTTGAGGCCTCCAAGAGCTTCCTCATGCCCTGATTAGCACTCTACTGGACGCCTGGGGGGATCCCCATGAAGATCTTCAGAGTTCTCCCTCTTTGTAGCTCTCTCCTCTCTGGGTGCTCTGTCTTGGGAACTCTAGTTGCCTCTGTCTCCCAGATCCTCAACTCCATCTTGCCAACTCAGAAATCTGCTGGGCTCTGCCTGGTTTCCCCGTTCCTTGTCACAGCCTGCACGCTTTCAAGGCAGTACGCCGGGGCAGTGATGGGTTCACAACATTTGTTTCCATTTCTGAGATTGCTACCCTTTGCTGTCTGATGTCCAATATCTCACAAAGTGTTGTATCTTATATCTAGTTTTTTGGTTGTTTCAGGCACAATGGTACATCTATTCACGGTTACTCCATGTTGGCTGGGAATGGAAGTCCCTACTAAACTCTCTTACACCTGTACTACAACCTACAATACTATGCACACGGTATTGAAACTGTCAGAATAAAATGTGCTTTACAAGGGCAGAGACTCTGTTGTTATGTTCTTTGTATTTTTAACACTTAACACATAGCAGATGCTGTATGTAATATGTGTGTTGAGAGAATGAAAGGCTGTCCAACTTCTTGTATGCTTCAGACCTGGGAAAATTTTTTCTTTTCTTTTTTTTTTTTTAGATGGAGTCTCGCTCTGTTGCCCAGTCTGGAGTGCAGTGGCACCATCTCGGCTCGCTGCAACCTCTGCCTCCCAGGTTCAAGCAATTCTCCTGCTCCAGCCTCCCAAGTATCTGGGACTACAGGCACACGTCACCATGCCCGGCTAATTTTTTGCATTTTAGTAGAGATAGGGTTTCACCATGTTGCCCAGGCTGGTCTCAAACTCCTGGGCCCAGGCAACCTACCCACCTTGGCCTCCCAAAGTGCTGGGATTACAGGCATGAGCCACTGCCTTTTTTCTTTTTTTTTTTTTTTGAGACAGAGGTTCCCTCTTGTTGCCCAGGCTGGAGTGCAATGGCGTGATCTGGGCTCACTGAAATCTGTGCCTCCCAGGTTCAAGCAATTCTCCTGCCTCAGCCTCCAGAATAGCTGGGATTACAGGCACGTGCCACTAGGCCCAGCTAATTTTTGTATTTCTAGTAGTTACGAGGTTTCACCATGTTGGCCAGGCTGGTCTCAAACTCCTGACCTCAAGTGACCTACCTACCTCTGCCTCCCAAAGTGCTGGGATTACAGGCATGAGCCACTACATCTAGCCAGACCTGGGAAATTTCAACAAAGCTAGCATTGAAACCTTCACTATTAGACAATAATCTACTTTATTTATCTCCTACTATGCAACTTTCATGCACCTTCTCTAGCCTAAATAAGCTTTCTATAGATCCCTACAAATATCCTCTCTTGCCTTTTCCAGAATTCTATGCATCTTTCAAGGTCTCAACAAAGTTTATGTTCTCTATAAAACTTGCCCTGCTAAGTGTTTTCCTTCTGCTTTAAACTCCTATTAAACATATTGCCCATAATAGTTATTTGGAGTATTTCTTACGTTTTCCTTTTCATGTATGTATCTTTTGTTTTTTCTAACTGCAGGGAAGGAGTTGGGGACTATAACATGGTTCTTCTCTATGTCACTTATTTACTTTCTGATGAATCCTATAGGAAATATGCAGCATAACCATACAAACAGCACCCAGTCATTCTGTTAACTCACCACCTGGAAGTGAAGGTGAGGGGAAAAGGACTCTTGAATCCAAATGATTTTTTTCGTTTCTATTATTAACTATATTACCACCTGTAGAATATATCCATTGTTTTTGCCCACATGGCATCTCTTCCCTCTTCTTTTGTGACAATAACGCTATTTCCTTTCAGGACCCACTGTCTACTTCTGCATTAAGTCTTAGTGGAAATATCCTTCAATACCCTTCCTCCTCCTCTGGCCTAGAAGTGGTCATGGAACAAAAAAACAGTTGGGTAAATCCAACTCTCTCCATGAGCAGTAAAAGAAAGATTGCCAGGCATGGTGGCTCACGCCTATAATCCAGCACTTTGGGAGGCTGAGGCGGGTGGATCACAAGGTCAGGAGTTCAAGACCAGTCTGACCAACATGGTGAAACCCCGTCTCTACTAAAAATACAAAAATTAGCCGGGCATGGTGGCGCATGCCTGTAATCCCAGCTACTCAGGAGGCTGAGCAGGAGAATCGGTTGAACCCGGGAGGCAGAGGTTGCAATGAGCCGAGACTGCACCACTGCACTCCAGCCTGGGCAACAAAGCAAGGCTCTGTCTCAAAAGAAAAAAAGAAAGATCATGGTTTAGGCAGATTCATTCTGGGGTTGACCCTGAAAGAACTCCCGTTGCTTCCTTCAATCCCTTGAGATACCTTTGTTTGGGTCCTTTCAGAGGCCTTGGCATTTACTCACCCTACAGCGTTTCAAATAAATCCTTTTAACAGCCAGAGTTGGTTTTACTGCTTGGGAACAATGAATCCTTACTAACACAATGTCTTTGATTCAACTCATCTAAGTGTCTGCACCCAAAGCATGGTCCACAATTTTTAGCTTTTTATTGAAGGCTAGAAATCATGTCTACAAAATACCAAAAGCAGGCGACTTAGTCAGATCTAAAGTGACTTCAATTGTGGTTGGTGTTAAAACATTAATCTCTAATTATTTTTTATTTCTTTTTTTTTTTTTTGAGACAGAGTTTCACTCATGTTACCCAGGCTGGAGTGCAATGGCGCGATCTCGGCTCACCGCAACCTCCGCCTCCTGGGTACAGGCAATTCTCCTGCCTCAGCCTCCTGAGTAGCTGGGGGGGGGGGGGGGGG